ACACGTGCTCAAAGGTCGCAGTAAATCGGGGATCATCCACCGTACGAACACCTTTGTAATAAAAATTATCACCCAATCCAATGACGAATTTTACTCCTTGGAAATCAGCGTACTAAGAATGAATAAGAAATTTAATTAACTAAGAAAACGTCACTCATGTCGAACTTCAGAGTCCAAACAAAATCACAGCAGGGAAGATTACAAATGTGTTTGTTTGCGTCAATCATGTTTTTAGATATGAAATAATTATATTGACACTTGTGGTCAAAGGTGTTTTCTCAAAATGACGTTTTAGGCATCCCAGTCTTAATACATCATGTCAATTAAACAGATTTCTGCTAGATTATATTATTATAGAACAATATGTGAAAAAAAATGCGAACCGACGTCTGTAACGAAACACTTAATATCGTGGCTGCATAAGGCTTTTTTTAACACTAAAACTAGAATCAGGGCCGAGATTTCAGAAATTCTCAGTGTGTCGATCTTTTTATAGAACACTGCTTAGAAACTGAAGTGGTCAAGAGAAGGCTGGCGTATCATCTAGTATTAAAACAACAGAATGGAAACGTGAGCCACGAGCGAGGAACCGCATTCAGGGAAATTTTTGCCCCAAAGTAAATAATGGAAAACCGCCCTGGAGATTATCAAACAAGTAACACAGTTTTGCGGCCAATTTCCCGAAATACTCTTTCTTGCTACTTGAAAAAAGAAATATAAAACAATAAGGCAAACAAATATGTTTAGTCAATATTCGTTCAGTCGGGGTCGATTAACCTCATATTATTTTGTTGTTTTAACAAATTTCATAAACAATGGCCTCCATTTGGCGCGAAAATATGCTCGGATAGTTGTCCGCGGACAGTCTGTTCCTAGAAGCGAACAGTTTTCCTAGAGCGTAGAGAATGTCCAAGGACAAATATCCGAGCATATTTTCGCGCCAAATAGAGGCTATTGTGTTGATTATCCTTCAAATCTCAGTTTTCTGAACACGCGCAGTTTTGAAAATTGGGGAATATTGGTGTAATTTTAGCCACCGAGAAGTTATTAATAACTATTAAGTCAAAAGGTACAGCACACGTCGACTTGACTGGGTGGAAAACTGGTAGGTTTTGAACGAAGAAGATTTAGCTCAACGTTTCTGAAGTATTTCAAAAAGAATGGTCTTTTCG